AGGAATACTACTCAGCCATCAAAAAATGAAATCTTGCCATTTGCAACGATGTGGATGGAACTAGAGGGCATTATGCTAAGTGAAATAAGTCAATCAGAGAAAGACAATTATCATATGACCTCACTGATATGTGGAATTTAAGAAACAAGGCAGAGGATCATAGGGGAAGAGAGGAAAAATGAAACAAGACAAAACCATAAGAGACTCTTAGTCACAGGAAACAAACTGTGAGGGTTGCTGGAGGGGAGGGGGGTGGTGGGATGGGGTAACTGGGTGATGTATATTGGGGAGGGCATGTGTTGTAATGAGCACTGGGTATTATATAAGACTGATGAATCACCAACCTGTACCCCTGAAACAAGTAATACATTATATGTTAATTTAAAAAAGGAATATACCCTAAAAAATATATGATTTAGAGATTAATGTCCCTATGAAAAGAATATCTACTCCTAATTCTTCAACATTTATTGAGACTTGTTTTGTGACAAGAATTCTTTACCAAATGAATTCAGCAGTTTTGGATATTGTTTGTGTGTAGTCACTTAGCATTTAGTTTTTCCTTATCATATTTTCTTAACCTCTATATTCTTTGTTTTTTATTTGTTAGGCATATTAAAATATGAATTTTATTACTTTAGTTTTTCCTTTATATATTTTAAGATTTAGTTATTTGTGAAATTTTATCTGCATATTTTCTTCTATCTTTGTCTAGTTTATTCATTTCCTTTTCATTGTCATTTGGATCTAATCAATTATTAAACCTATTGATTATTTAAAAAAAAGGTTGGCACTTCTCTCTGTAGGCCAAACTCTCCTTTAACCCACCTCCTAGTGGCCCTTCTGCAACAATGTCAAACTGTGCAGTGGTACATACTCTCAAAGACTCAAGACCAACTCCAAGAATGTAAAAAACTGGAGTTTGGTTTTTTACATTTTAAAAAATTACAATGAGGGGCGCCTGGGTGGCTCAGTCAGTTAAGTGTCCGACTCTTGATCTCAGCTCAGGTCATGATCTCAGGGTGGTGAGATCGAGCCCCACGTTGGGCTCTGTGCTGGGTGTGGAGCCTGCTTAAGATTCTCTCTTTCCCTGTCCTTCTCCCTCTGTCCCTCCCCACCAAAATAAATAAATAAAAATAATTAAAAAAAAAAAAAATTACTATGATAATGACAAAATTAGTTGGCTGAGATCAAAGGTTGCTGGTATCTGAGTTGTTTTGTTTTGAAGGTTCTATTGTTTAGAATCACCATTTCCTAGGGCTCTACATCCTACTTAATTAAACCACTAAAACTAGTAGAAGACTGGGGTAAACAGGTGAAAGTCATGGGAAGAAATAACTCAGTATAGGGGGGATCCTGTCTGGCTTAGTCCCTGGAGCATGCGACTTTTGAGCATGGGATGGTTGGGATCAATTTTTCATTGTTAAACTATTAGAGGAAATGGAAATGGAACAAAAAAAGATCAAATTTTATTTTATTTTTTTAAAGCATTATTTACTATTAAAATTAACCTATGTTTTAAGACAAGTCTGCTTTTCAGGCTGGATTAACTAGAGATACTGACAAACCTGGCTAAGCAACTCTTATGCTATTTTCAGGATCCACAATGGAAGCAATTTCTGGTGGGCATGGAAAAAGCACAGAGATTTTATTAACATACTCCTTAGGATGGTTCCAACCGCTATGCTGCACTCCAAGGAAAAGCTGCCCTAACCACTCCAGCTAAATGGGGCCCTTTTCTATCAAGGAATTCTGCACCAATAGTCGATTATTTAAAACATCTTGAAGTAACTTCATTCCTGCTGACATCAACAGAAACAATCAATTCCTAAACTTCACCTTAACATCTCCCTTAAAAATGTGTAAGTCTTTTCCGTCAAATAATCTGGTTTATACTAATTTTATGTGGCCCACTGTCCTTTACATGGCCCTACATTTTATACTACTTCCTTACAGAATTTATAACTAAAGTATATGTCACTAATCTACACCATTATATTCTCTAAAACCTTATGTTTACAAACTTTCTGAATCATTGTGATTTTAGGCACATCCAAAGGATCCCTTTATTTACAGCAAATAAGTAAGTTCACATCACAGTGCCTTACAGTTTACAAAACACTACACTTTCCAAAACATCAAACATCAGTTCTCTGTTTTCGTGGTCCCCCTCTGGCCATTCCTTCTCAGATCCCTTCATAAAAGCTCTAATGGTTCTTTTAATCGAACAATAATACAGGGTTCTATCTTAGAACCTCTTCTTTTAGCCCCTACACACTCTCCTTGGGTAAGCTCATCAACCCTTGTGGTTTTTAGTACCACTGCATGCTAACGGCCCCCAAATCCCCCCCTTCTGAGATATAAAATCTTTATAACCCAAAGCCCAATGGCCATCTTCCACCTAGACAACTCCCAGCTCCCATGCTCTTCAAGGTCAAGGTGATGCCCAATATCAAATTCCTCTCTCCCCCTCCAGATCTGCTTCTTCTGTTCTAATAATCTCTATCTCTGAGAAAATGGATCACCCCACCTTTCCCCACATCCTATTAGTTACTAATTCCCCATCATGCTGCTTTATCTATTCCTACTGTTAGTGCCCCACTCAGTTTTTCATTTTTTCCTATCTCATTTCCCTATGTCTAGTCTTATACCTCTAATCCATCTTCCACACAAATCTATTCATGTTGCTCTTCTAGTTAAAGTCCTCTGACAGTTTTCCTTAGCTTTAAAGATAGAAGTGCATTAACTACAGAGAACAAAATGATGGTTACCTGGGGGGAGGTGGGCGGGGGGAATGGGGAAATAGGTTATGGGGATTAAGAAGTGCACCTGTTGGGATGAGCACTGGGTGATGTGTGGAATTGCTGAATCACTATTATCGTACACCTGAAACTAACACACTGCATGTTAACCACACTGGAATCAGAGAAAGGGAAGGAAAGGAAGGAAATACATAAATACATACATACATACAGAAAAACATAGAAGCAGAAACTCCTTAATTTGGTATATAAAGGTCTTCCATAATCCAGCCCCACCCCCCTTTCTAGATTTAACTCTGGTCAAATGTACACTTGCCTCTACTCCACACTCCAGCCATTTAAGAATAGTTTTTCTTCAGTTAAGGTGGTTTCAACATTTCTAAGCCTTTGGTCAAGCTATTATCTTACCTTGGAATGCCAATCCCCAGCAATCCTCATCCTGCTCATTCCCCAACCCAATTCTTTAGACTACCACTACTCAGAGTTCTGTCAGCTCAAGCACCATGTGTTGACTCTGTCCCTCCCCCCATCCCCACCCAGGGCACTTATCTATTAGCACATTTCTATCTCTGCACTCTTCCATAATTCCAAAGCCAGACGCAGGCTTTGTCTGATCTGTGTCTGCATCTCAAGCTTAAGGCTGACAGGCACCTAGCAATAATGTTTGTAAAGTGAGAAAAAGAACAAATAGAATCCATTTTGATACAAACACCACTTTATGAAGTATTTTTATTTCTCCCTTTTGCAGGTGAGGAAACTGGGCTTCTGGGAGGCCGAATGATTTGCCCAAGGCCCTCTGACTCCTTATCTTATGCTCTTCACATACACATCCATATTTGACCCAACCCCGTTTTTTTTTTTTAAATGGTGGGTGATACATGTCAACAAGAGTCTTATTTTTTCATCAAATTTTATTTGCAGATAATGCAGGGTGTTTTTTTTCTTTTTCTTCTTTTTTTAAGTAATCTCCACACCCACGATGGGGTGGGTGGCTCGAACCCACAACCCCAAGATCAAGAGCTGCATGCTCTACTGAGCCAGCCAGGCACCCTAAACCCTGCTATTTTCGAATGCTCCTTCAAACAAATACACTGGGGTATAAAAAGAAACTTAAAAACAAAGAAGTAAGGAAAAGGGGAAATATAAAGTCCTTTCGCAAGTCAAAAATTCAAAGAAAACCTCTTAGAAATCACTTACCAGAGTAGTTTCTTGTTTACTATGAGTGAAAATCCACGTTACAGAGCACAGTGGCCAGGACCCATGACTTACCCATCCGGAAGTCAATGTAGCCCTCTCCTCCACTGATGACGAGCATAGACTTCAAGGGCATCTGGCTGCCAGGCTCCTGTGTCGATGGCCCTGCCTTGTCACCTGTTAGATCTGTGTCACTACTGCCACTTTGCGGGCTGACGACTTGACCTATTTGTGCAAGAACAGAAGTGGATGTTACTTATCACAGACGGGTGGGGAAGACTCATTTTCTCTGAATATTTTCAGAAAGTTGAACAAAAAGGTAAATATATTCTGATACAACCAAAGTACTGGGAATGGCAGAAGCCTCTACATGATCAGAAAATATCCACAAAGGTCCTAAGAACACAATTTGAAAATCTAAGTAGAGCCATTTTGTACCAAAGCAAATGGGTCCAAAACCCATTATGAGATCTGTGTGTGGCCAGGCTGGTCTTCGCTGCCTGCTTCAGACTATTATGATCTACATCTTTTGACCTGAGGGACAAAGGAAAGGGTACGCGTGCATCTCTGTAAGAAAGGTCTTCAATGTATGCCCTGTGAGTTTGGATATGCATAATTAATATTTAAATGTATTTTAAATCCATCGTATTCCTCTCATATTTAAGAAAATTACATCTTATTTATAATTTAGATTATGCAAGTAAAATTACTAGTGAATGTGCCATTTATTCTAAATTTAAGTTCTAAGGTAGAATCCTTGAGCATGAAATGGGAGAGAAACCTTTAATATGCCATAGTTAAATGAACTAGATTTTTATGTATAAACATTAATAAATTAAAAAAAATGAGAAGAGAGTTGAATATATATACAACATTTAAGTTCAAAGACACAAATTTGAAAAGACTACACATAGTTTATAGATTTGTTCAAATGTAAAAATATAAAAACATGGCAGGATACTTGTCAACTTCAGGACTGTAGTAGCACATGGAGAGGAAAAGGGGAAGGGAACGGGATTAGAAGAATATAACAGAGACTCAAAGGAATGGATTCTAGGACCCTTTTTTCACAAAAGCAAAAAGATACTACTATCAGCAATTCCATTTTTAGGAATTTATCCTAAGGAAATGACTATGTAAATATACAAGGTGTATGTTTCAGGAAGCTCATTACCATGTTGTTAAGAATACTGAGTAACTGATTAGGATACTATGTGCCAGCCACACTACGTACACTGAATCATCTGATCTTCGGAACACCCTCAGGAAAATTAAGACGATGGTTCAGTTTATGTGTCAACCTGACTAGGCTTTGGTGCACAGATATGTGGCCAAACTCCAGTCTAGATATTTTTTAGATATAATCCACACTGAAATCAGTGGACGTGAGTAAAGCAGATTATTCTCCATAATGTGGGTGGGCCTCATCAATCAGCTGAAGGCCTTCCGAGAAAAAGATAGGTCCCCTGAGGAAGGACGAATTCTGCCTCTAGACTGCCTTTGGACTCCAGCTGCAACATCAACTCTTTCCTGGGTCTCCAGCCTGCCGGACTCCCTACAGATTTCAGACCTGAAGCCCCCAGAATCACATGAGCCAATTCCTTAAACTAAATCAATCTCTCGTTCTCTCTCATACCCTATCGGTTCTGCTTCTCTGAAGAACCCTAACACACTGAGACGCTATCATGTCCAACGTCGCACAGCTGGTGTGGCGAAGTCAGAGCTGAACTTTGTAGAGCTCTAAAACTTGCATCTTATGGGGGGAAAGAATTCAAAATGTGGGACCTGCTTGCAGATGGTCAGTCACATCAGTTTAGTATTCTTAATGGACAGAACCTTTTTCTCTGGACAGCACCACTGCCACCTTTCATCTAGATAGATGGAGCTTTATAGTTCCAAAGCACTTTTGTTAACTTTCACAACAAATGAGGTCAGCAAAGCAGAGATTAGTCATGTCCACTCAGGAAATGAGGACGAGTCTCAGTAGTGAAGTGACTTGCTCAAGATAACTAGGCAAGGGCGAGGCGGGGACTCCCAGTCTGCTGCCCTTTGCCACAACACTGAGACAGGCCCGGGAGCACAGTCTCCTCTTCCTGTATACGATCTTGACGACAGGGGCTTCTTTCTAGTATTCGGCCACGATTATTTCTGGTATTCTGCGGTGACAAAATAGTACCTACCACTGCTTTTCAAAAGCGAGCAGGTCTCTTAAATGAAAATCGGCAAGTTTGTTTTTGGGGAGAGAGGAGAGATTCCAAAACAATTTCATTCAAATGTCCCTACAGTGCTTTATCCATACCTCCGTCACAACTTTTCATATATTATATTGGAATTATTTGTAATTCCAGTTCTTTGCATTAGACTAGGTAGTGGAACCAAGGGATAGAAGAGAGACAATTATATGCAACCTCTTGACAGAATAATCTAACTCACCTGGGACTGCCACAAAGAATTTCACAGCATCCCGGTGCCCATGGAAGCAAAGTTGTGCATGCGCCATTGAACAATAGGGTATAAATGTCCCTGGAGTCACTTTATCACTGTTTTCATCACCATACACTCGGATTACACTTCCAGGACGATTTCCTGATGCTCCTGAGGTTTTATTTGCTGCAACAGAAAAACCAAAGACCAAATATTTTCCCCTTGGAAACAGTAATGATGTAGGGTGTTACTGGTTAATCCTTATGATTATTATCTAAAAGCTACAGCCAGTTGAGGTAAAAACAAGGGCAGCAATGCCAACTCAAGACAAAGCTGGGAAAAAAAGGTAACATAGCATGCTAGTTATTTTTAAGTACCTCAGTAAATGGAGTAGGGGATTTTGCCAGTCTAGCAATAACTACACTTAGTTTTTAAACATATCTATTAATTAAAACAAAAACAAAAACAAACTTAGTTTAAGAAAACCAGATTTGAATCTTAGGTATGTCTGTTTTATTTTTATTTATTTATTTTTTAAATCCCCATTTTAGAAGACTAACCCGTTACACAGTTTACAGTAAATGGGTACATTGTTAAATAAAAATTTCATAGTTTTATCTTCTGATTTTTCTCCCCTGTGGTACGAGAATCTCCCTTGAGGGGGTGGTAAAAAGCTGTGTTTAAAAGGACACAGCCACTGCAATAGAGTAGCTTTTAAATATTTACACCAGACTGACGGCTTGCTGCATTATTTTAGAACAACCAGACTCACAAAACATCCCCATTCCATGGGCCAGTAAGTGAATGAAAGAAACATGGTCGGTAATAAGAGTAAACAATGGAGATTAATGACAGTTTTAAGAGATGTGTCGTGTTTTTACTGGAAGGAAAACAAAGTCTGGAAGAAAGTTCAGCTGCAACAAAAGATGATAAATACACTAAGCGGCTGAGCAGTAGTTTGGTGGCCATGTAACAAACGTTAAAAAACAAAACCAACAGAACACCTGCTGCGATGCAGTGACTGAGTGGATGGCATTTAGGAACATTCAAGAGGGCGTCTAGAGCTGGAGGACAGCCTCCCAGTGGCCATCAGAAGCCAGGAAGAAGAGCTGGGTCCAGGCTCTGCACTTACCCCTCAGCCCCAGTAAGCGTCCCTGGTGGAGGATTACGGCTACAGTGAGAGAGGAGGAAAGGCACATGGAGAGGTGCACGGCAGGGGGATGGGCACTACCATGAGCCTCCACTCTCGCGCCTTCTCTTCTAAGCTCCTCACTACATTAACAAAATCCAACTTGGTATAACACCAAGTAACACGGAAAGTTCTTACCAAAGCCTCTGTACAAGATCTCTGCTCAAAAAGGACAGTATGATTTACTGTGATTTTGCTTTTCTTAATTATAAAGCCATTTCAGAGAAGAACTGATCTATCAGGGAGCGTTTCCTAAATGCGAATATTTCCCCCTTTTCTTTAAGAAATCTGGTTCAAATAGCTATGCTAAAATGGAACTCTCTTTTACAAAGAAGTGACATCAACTCCTGTAGATTTGTAAGTAATTGCACAAAAGATAGCTGGGATTAAGAACTTAGGTTCTTCAAAGGCTCCAGATAGACTACCCCCCAAGCATCCCCCCTTCTCCCTAAAGAAAGGTAGGGAAATTCCTCAGAACTATTTTATTTAGTTATCAACTTATTTTCTGGACTTATGGCACTGGTTTTCAAACCATTCCTGGCCCACGAATTCTGTAACACAAAAATGCTCATTTGATGAATAATCAATGTAATGGAACATAATATGAAAAACAATGTACATTTTGTTCACAAAAATAACAATAATGAAACATAATATAAAAAACATACAATGTACATTTTGTTCACATCCTTTTCACATACAGGAGAGATGGCTTCTCTCCAGCATCACGAAGCTCTTGCTGACCTAAGAAACTTTTCCCACAACATTTTCAAAACCTCAAATAAGCCAAGTGGAACATCCAAAGGAACTGCCAGAGGACTGTGAAGAACCAGAATGGTTCTAGGCCGTTTCTAGATATTGATGTACTAACACTGGAAGAAAGCCAGACTTCAGGCTTTATTTAAATAATGAAATAGGACTACGATTCCTGAATTGAGAAAAGGAGCCTCTCACAATGGAACATTTTTTAGTTATAAACGTTGGTCCTGACACATGGACACTGTTAATTCACTAAAATTTATAAGTTTTGTAGAAGTGATGAAGGAACAATAGTTAGGTCTTTGTCATCACCTTGATTTCCTGAATTACCAGATTTGCCAATACCAAAATCATTCCTTTTGCCTGAATTCCGGACACAACTACACCCTGCAACTCTTCTGTTTGCATTGTGACAATCAGCTAAAAATATACTTACTTTCTGTCAATGGGATGGAGATAATGACACCGTTTCCTGTTCCCACCCACAAACGATTGCAAGACACCATAAGAGCTGTGATCCTCACAAAAGAGAAGCCCAGTTTTCCAGTACCTGTACAGTGGGGGGAAAATTTTTTATTGAGAAACTAGAGCAGATGATGTTTTAGGTTCCAAGTCCCTCAGAATGGCTGGATTAATTTTAAGAGAGAAGAAATGTGACCAGAGCTAGTTGGATATTTCCTGAAGGTGCACATCAAAGCAAACTTTCATTGGGCTTTATCACCTATCTGATAACTCATTGTTAATGAAAAAAGAAAATCCTGGGACCCCTGGGAGGCTCAGTCGGTTAAGCGTCTGCCTTTGGCACAGGTCATGACCTCAGGGGTCCTGGGATCAAGCCCTGCATCGGGCTCCCTGCTCAGTGGACAGCCTGCTTCTCCCTCTCCCTCTGCTGCTACCCCTGCTTATGCTCTCTCTCTATCTCTGTCTCTGTGTGAAGTAAATAAAAATAAATACAAAATCTTTAAAAAAAAAAATTCTAGGGCGCCTGGGTGGCTCAGTCGTTAAGCGTCTGCCTTCAGCTCAGGTCATGATCCCAGGGTCCTGGGATCGAGCCCCACATCGGGCTCCCTGCTCCGCGGGAAGCCTGCTTCTCCCTCCCACTCCCCCTGCTTGTGTTCCCTCTCGCGCTGTGTCTCTCTCTGTCAAATAAATAAAATCTTAAAAAAAAAAAAAAAAAATTCTACAAGTGGCTGACATTACATTATCCTTCAGAAAGAAAATACTGTTGATCGGGAGGTATGACACAAGATTTAATTAGGGAGCTGCCAAAACAAACCCAAAACAAAACAAAAAACAACAAAAACAGAGTTTGCTAGATTGGAAAATCAAATGTCCTTTGTTTTTATAAGCTAAAAGAGTTCTGCTTTGCCTTAAGTTTCTTTGCATAGATAAAAACAATCTTTAACAAAATTTATAATCTTTCCTTGTTTACATATTTTTATTCTAGAGCAGTTTAGAAATTTTAGGGTATCATAGGCATATAATTTAGGGAGAATGGATGCACTTTTTTTATTTGAAGGGAATTTTTACAACTGATTTTATTTTCTGAGAGTTGAGAGGAAAATTCTTAAACAGATAATCATACATTTAAGACAAATAGCATTTATTTAGTTACAAGTTCTACTTATAAGAACAGAATATGATCACAGTGTTAGAAGGAGCCTTAACTCCATTCGGTCTAAGCTAGAGATCTTTAACCTATGGTCAAAGTATATTCCTGAAATTGGGGGCCTGGGTGGCTCAGTTGTTTAAGCATCGACTCTTGGTTTTGGCTGAGGTCATGATCTTGCAGTCCTGGGATCAAGCCCTCCATCGGGCTTCGTGCTTGGTGCAGAGTCTGCATCAGATTCTTTCTCCTTTTCCCTCCCCCTCTAACCCCTTCCCCGCTTGTGCACGCTCTCTAAAACACATAAAATCTTTAAAAAAAAAAAAAAAAGAAAAAAAGTCTATTCCTGAAATTAGTTTGCGTTTATGACATTCCTAATACTCAGAGTGCTAGATTAGGAGCTAAGGATAAAGCAGGGACCAAGCCAGAGATGGTCCCTGCCCTTTGTGGGGCTTCTGATCTTTGGGGGAAGAGAGACAACAAACAAGAATCTAATATTATTGGTGCAACCACAATAATAAGCCCAAGAAGGGAAAGCATGAGAGGACCTAATCAAATTGGGAGAACAGGCAAGGTCTGTGCTCCATGTGACATGTAAGCTACAGCCTGAAAGCCAAGTAAAAAGGGACCAAGAAGAACTTCCCCGGCAGAGGCTCTAACACATGTGAGGGGCCTGAAATGGGAAGGAACTTGGTGAGCTCAGGTCAGTGTGAGCAGACCAGAGCAAGTGAGGAGAGTAGTCCAGGCCCCTGGAGCAGTTCTTCTGGTGTTGTCACAGAATGTCACCTCACCTAAAGGTAGGAATATTCTAAAAGTGGCTGGTGTTACATAAGTATGTCATGGTGGTACCGGCACACTGGTTACTATGCTGGGAACAGACTGGGGTAGAAACACAGAGACCAGTTATGAGGCTCACAGTTATCTAGGGGGGTAAGGATGGTGGCCTGGCCTGCAGGGATAATAGTAGAGATAAAGAAGTAACCGATTTAAGATATTTTTGGAGACAGACTTGACAGCTCCCAGTGATGGATTAGGTGTGGGGAGTAAGAGAGGAGTCAAAAATGATCCCAAATTTCTGTCAAGAACCACAGGGTACACGGAGCATCTGCCTGACACTCTCAGTGATAAGAGCTCACTAGTCCTGAGGCAACTTATTCATTCATTCTAACTAGCATTTGAGACCATTTAAAAATAAAACGTTTTCTTCAACTGACATAGATAGAATGCTTTGGAAGCTTACCTAACATTTTGCTTACATAAGGCTCAATGTCCACATCCTGTAGGTGCTGGTAAGTGTGTGCATGATAGAGACGAAGTGTGGAATCCAAACGAATGGAGACCCACACACCGTCACCCACCCATGCAAGCTGCCGCACCTGGCTCTCCTTCCTGGGGTGTGCGTCAAATGATTTCTAGGAAAGATTGTTTGATCACAATGTTACTTTGATTAAGCAGGAGTTCATGTTTAAAAACTGTGCTAATTTGCACAACAATTTGGCAGACCGTATATTAAAAGAGGAGCCTAAATACTATTTATTAAATAGGATTACTTTTACATACGCAAATGCTTTTATCCCGGACTGTAAAAGAAAACGAAGAACAAACAACTTAAGGATGCTAGATTTCGGCACTGTGTAGGATATCAACTTACCAAAGTAATACTGGCATATCCAGACTCTAACAGTGTTCAACAAAAAGACTGAATTTGATCTCAGGATGTTGTGTTGCTGCAGAGCAATGCATGAAGTAAGAGCCTATTTAAAATTAAACAAAAAGGAACCTACATTGCTCTGTGTGCATGTAGGAACTAGATTTGGGAGAAAAAAAATCCCACCAAAGGATTAACTTTGGGACTTCTAGGAAACCAAATGGGATTTGGAACAAAGGAATAAGGACTATTACCTTAAAATTTTCCTGCCCTTTTTCTTTTTCTTAAATAATTAGAATGAATTTATGTATTGTGGCAAAACTTTTAAGAGAGCAATGCTAAGAGGTTTTTATTTTTATAACAAGATGCCATTGCAATCTTATTTCTCAGTCTATGACACATATATGGATTTTCCTGGATCCACATGGAGTGACAGAGACGTGGGAAACCTCCTCCCAAACAACCCACACGTAATTAAACATATCAAGAACCAAGTATCCAAATAATACACATATTGCATCTATGGATATTCAGACACACATTTAAACATTCATGTGTGAATCCTCCCTTCCTTAAAAAAAACACTTCCCACCATAGTCAAAAGTGGCAAGAGAGGTGAAGTAACACAGAAAGCTGTCATCCAGGGACGCCTGGGTGGCTCAGATTGTTAGGTGTCTGCCTTGGGGTCAGGTCATGATCCCAGGATCCTGGGGATAGAGCCCGTATCGGGCTTCCTGCTCAGCGGGGAATCTGCTTCTTTCTCTCCCTCTGCTCCTCCCTCCAGCTCCTGCTATCTCTCTCTCTCTCTCTCAAATAAATAAAATAAAAAATCTTAAAAAAAAAAGCTGTCATCCAATCCATCACCGATGTGCCCTAAAACACACAGATTCAGAAAACAGTTTCTAAAGAAGCTAAATATAATTATAGTCTTCAGAAAATACAAATTCAGTAAATACAGAAAGCATAGGTTAACTTACCTCTATTTTCATAGCCTTTGGCTGAACCACATAGATTTTGTTCCTATAGCCACACCAGACTTTGTCATGTACCACAGTCATGCAGCGGATGGAATGGTGAGGCCGTCCAAGGTCTAACAGGTGATAGTTTGACAAATCCCACTGCCCATCTTTAAAATAAGAAACAAATTATTAGTTAATGCATACCACCTTTTACTCAATTTTAACACAAGAAACATTCTATTTAGGTGCATTAATAAATTTATTGGTGACGCACTACAAAATACCACACAGGACTGTTTATCTTTTCTTTGCAGAGACTGAATTCTCTCCTTCTATCTACTGCACAGTTGGGGAAGAGATCTCAGAGGGCATCTGGGCCAATGAGCCACCCAGTGCCTGGATCTCCATACTCCCTTGCAGTGATGTGATCAATTAGCCAGAAGTTATCCGTTTATTATAATGGTTTAAGAATTAGAATGGATTTGATATTATTTTCTGGATAATATCTCTCTCTCACTTGCATTTTGATGAATCTTGTATATGTTAAGGACAACACACTGTTAACACTTTAGGAATTACACAATAACTTCTGATGGCAGAAATACAAAGGAGACTCAGCCACTGAAAGCTTGCTCTGTAGACTCTGCTTGAACAGTTCCAGTGAAAGAAAACGTACTGCCTCACAAAACAGCTGTTCCATTTTCCAAAAGCTGTAACTGTCTGAAAAATACTCCCCACACCTAAGTAGTTCATCCTTGAGTGTCATCACCCATCAGTCTGTAGCCTTGTGCAATAGACACAGAAGAATTCAGTCCCACTTCTTTGTTACTGCCCTATGTTTTCTACTCTCAAAATGAAGCACTCTCGGGATGTGTTCTGTACATATCCCAGTTTACAGACCCTTTATCCTAACTCCACTTTGTCTGTGTTTGTTTAATATGCTATCTATCTACCAGAGTGGAGCAGGATTATCACCAGCCCTGGTCTGGACAGAGATTTCTAGGAGGCTGAAGGTGCTCAGTAACTTGTATTAAGTTTGGGGCCAACAATTAGGTACTTCTCATTCTTCAGACATGTTGCCTCCTTTTTACTCTTCTGAACCCCAACACAGAACTTGACATTTATCTTATTACATGTCTTTTGTCTGTTCTGAAATATAATTTTGGATTCAGCTTGCCAAAACATTTATTACCACATTTTTTCTAAGCTTTTGCACTTCTTAGCTGACTGACCACAAAATGACTAAAAGCCTCTGTGCCTCCAGGGGCGCCTGGGTGGCTCAGTCGTAAGCGTCTGCCTTCAGCTCAGGTCATGATCCCAGAGTCCTGGGATCGAGCCCTGCATCAGCTCCCTGCTCAGCGGGAAGCCTGCTTCTCCCTCTCCCACTCCCCCTGCTTGTGTTCCCTCTCTCGCTGTGTCTCTCTGTCAAATAAATAAATAAAATCTTAAAAATAAAAAAAAATACAAGCCTCTGGGCCTCCAGTTTCCTCATCTATAAAATGAGGATGACAACAGAATCTTCTTCATAAGTTGCGGTGAGGATTAAGCTCAGATAAAGTCTACAAAGGGTCTGAACAAGGTAAAACAGAGCCCCCTCACTTTCTGATGATAAGGAGTCATTAGCCAGCAATCTCTAGGTACCAGCCAGTTACAAAGACACCTAATCATCACCTACCCTTTATTTTTCCAAGCCCCAAAAGATATGAGACTTGGGGAAAAGTCTTGCTAAAATCCGAATTTAGTGTATCTATGCTTATGGAATATTTTCCTGCTCTAGCAATCTAGCAGGTAGGAAATGAATGATCATTTCTGGCTGATACATATACCAAGGAGTTAGGAAGTGTCACATGCTCGCTTCCCTAGTTCTCTTATAACTCAAGGCAGGTTTTTGGACCTCCACCACCCCTCCCATCTGCAGATGATAGATACACTGGTTTTAAAGAGGAAGAACAGAAATCACAGGACACGAAAATGATTAAACCATATCCAATTAAAAACTTTTAAACTTTCCAAATATAAGTGGATGCAAATTATTTTAAAAATACTGAACAACAACAACGAAGAAAACCTTCCCTCTCACTAAATTTCTCCTAACTGAAGAAGTGTATGAATGAGAAACAAGTGCCTCCATATCACATTATGTCAGAGTACCTTGAAATGATAAACTACGTGCACTCACATAACTACTTAAGTCATACACTGTTAGTGTTCAGTTTAAACCTTTATTCTTTCTCTTATTATCATTTCTTTAAAACATAGTCCAATCTGCTAGAAAATGCTTTTGCAAAGCAACAAATTGGGCACATTCTATATTCATAACAACTCACCAATTCCTCTGTGAAAGATTGCAAGGGTGCCATCAGCCAGGGCCACTAAAACAATTCCTTTCACATGTCTGCAAACAGCAAAAGGAATGTCAGAATTCTCCATCTGGGAATGCGGGGGGGACCACATGCTACTGAACTAATTCAGAGGCTCTCAGGGGGCCAATCTGTGACAGCCAAGAAGCTTACACCAGAACCTGAAGAATACTTTTTTTTTTTAAGTCATCTCTACACCCAATGTGGGGCTCAAACTCACGACCCCAAGATCAGGAGTAACATACTCTATACTGAGCTAGCCGGGCACCTCGGAATATACTCTTCATTGAGAAAGTCTTTCATGTCAGCTGAACTAAATAAACAGCCTGTGTGGTGACTCTCTTATTTCACTTTCTGGCCCCAAGCTTCTCTCATCGCAGAAGGACCGCAGACCAGAGACAGATGCCTTGAGTGGAACTAACAATCAGCTCTGTGAACTTTGGAGTTTTTGATAGCGACATACAGAAAAGGACTAGTGAGTCAATGCCCCCAGTCAACACACTCACCAAGTCTAGAGAGTACCCTGAAATAAACATAAATTAATAGGTTCTCTCCCCAGAGTACTCTCTCCCCAGAGTACTACAGAACTCACAGTATGGTGAGGAATCAACCTGACAAGTGTGACTTAAAGCTCTACTTAGGAACTATTTTATTTTATTGTAAGAGTTTCACTCTCACTCAGCTCCTCTGATTCCATAAAGGGGGAAAATATCTGGATACTGACTTAATTATGAAGCACATGTTAGCTTTAATAGTCTTAAAAGATAGTTTATACCAAAATACATATTTTTTAAAGGAAGAATTTCTAAAATAAAACTTACACAATACTGAGAATCGAATCTTTAAGTTTAATAGAATGGAGACATTTCCTCCACTGGGCTACAGATGAATGCACATACAAACTGCAAGAACAAAATCAAGACTGGTAAGGCATAGAGAAAATCAAGTTGTTGCTTACATCTAGTAATGACCACAAAGTTCCCTTAGGAGGAAAGAAGAGTAACACAAAAATCGTAGGAAATAACGAGAGTCTAACGTAAAGAAATAAGCTGCTTAAGCAAACAGAAACACAGAAGAGTGAAAAGTCAGCACTAGAATAATGCATGGTCAGTTAGTTTCAGGTTACCACATACTTCAGAATCCTTGGCTAAAATCTGTTTTTAAAAAATGACCTTACTCTTCTGCTACACCAAACCGTAACTTTCTGACGGCAGGCTGGTTTACATCAAGAGAGTGGCAAGCTATGGCCCGCAAGCCACATCTAGCCCTCCACCTGTCTTCGTATAGCATGCGAGATAAAAATGGTCTTTACGTTTGTAAATGGTTGGGAAAAAATCAAGAGTATTTTATGACGTCTGAGACCTGCATGAAATCCAGCCTTCAGGGCCCACCCAGCGTTCCAAGAGCCCAGCTGCACTCCGCTACGGACTTGCTGTCGGCACAATGGCCGCCTCTGCACCACCACGCCAGAGCTGAGAAGTTGCTAGAGATCATATGGCCACAAAGCCTAACATACTTCTTCTCTGGTCCTTCAGAGAAAAAGTGGGCTGGCCCTCCATTTTGTAGTATTAAGACTCCTATGGAAAAGATGCACTAGTGACCTTGATTAACCTGTGGAGAAGCACAATTTTCAGAGACTCCTCATACTACTAGAATATGAACAAATTATGTAATGTTAGTTATCATCTCCTAAGCTTTCAGACTGGGATCTGTCCTGGTTTCCCTAGTACGTTTCGCGTTCGGAATGGAATTGAGCCTTCTCACAGCCAATAGATTAGTTTAATCGCTGGTATTTCCTGAATACACTCTAGCCTATATAAACCTTCTGTGCATCCATAATTCTGTCTCTGTGCTGTTCAGGATCTTCTATTTCTGGATCACCCAGATTTTCAAGTTTTATTTACCTCTTCTTCCAAGAATATTACATAAAGGGAACATTCTGTGACAAAGAACTATATGATTTACCATTCATAAACAATCCAAGTCCAGTTTATGGGGTAATGAGAACATCATCTCAAAATCCGTATGTACATAAAGTTCTCTGCTTTAATATGTACTTTTTGTTGTATGCCTATGCACCACATTTTACTTATTTCTGATTCCAAAAAGTAAAAAACTAAAGATACTCCAATATTAAGAGTTGGCACCTACCAGCCATTCTGAGCTCCAAGCCACATAGTCGGTAAAAGGCTACTCATTTTCTGGGCTTCTTCTCTCACCAGGTCTTGTTCATTTGGCAATACTGATAACTGATCTTTATACGCATCTGAGTCATTACTAGGAAAGGTGGGGAAAACGAAAGCATCTGAGCATGCTTAGCTACAATTTTCAGGGACTGAACATTTCCACATTTTAGTTTAACAGTTTGAAAAAAAAAATCAAACACTAACATTCCAGAAAAGCCAAATTTAAATGCTTATAATAAATATCTCAACAGTTGTACCAGAAGTAACATTAACATACTAGAGAGAACCAAGGTGCAGATAAGGGAGTTAAGACAGTAATACAGCAGTTAATATCCAGACTATAATTACGGTTCTCCCTTAGGGTTATTTTGAATTTTTTAAGTTTTTTCTTAGGGGAAAAAAGAGGAAGGGATGGTTTGTTATAAGAGGAAAAACACAAACACACGAGAATGAGTATAAAGAATTTTCAAGGAGTGCCTGGTTCAATAGGTTAACAGTCTGCTCTCGGCTCAGGTCATGATCCCAGAGTCCTGGGATCAAGCCCCGCATCAGGCTCCCTGCTCAGTGGGGAGTCTGCCTCTCCCTCAGCTCATGCTCCCTCAAATAAAATCTTAAAAAAAAAATTTTTTTTCTAAAATAAATTATTAAACTAAAACACTCATATTCTCTCCTATGACCTTCTTTTGGATTGTCAGAACATTTTTAGAAAAAAAGTGGGCTGTCAAATTCAAAACAGACAAACCTGCTATTTCCAAAAAGATGACTTTATTCTTTTTTTTTTTAAAGATTCTATCTATTTGACACACACATACATACACACACACGCACACACACACACACACACTCACCCCCAGCGCGCAAGAGAGAACATAAGCAGGGGGAGCTGCGGGCAGAGGGAGAAAGAGAAGCAGACTCCCTGCTGAGCAGGGAGCCCGACTTGGGACTCAATCTCAGGACCCTGGGATCATGACCTGAGCCGAAGGCAGACGCTTAACCAACTGAGCCACGCAGGCGCCCCAGATGACTTAAATTAACAAATGTTAATAGACCGTTATCGCTCTATAAGAGGAGGAATATTAAATTATAAAAAGAATCACGTTTAGCTAGATCCCCATCAGCTTTCTATAAAGGCCTAGAGAAGGCAGAAAATAAAGAATTCATTAAATGGGCCTAGATTACCCATTGCTTTAAAGGAAGAGCTATTTGCCAGAAAACAAAATTCAAAAAAGTCATCGGAGCCCGCATGGGAAATCTAAACTGCGAATTTCGCAGCTAACTAGGGTTGGAGAGGAGGGCTGGGGAGGAAAGTGGCACAGTTACAGTTTGAATGGAAATGAAAAATCATTATCAGAGGAGAAAATGACCAGGAAGATTTTGACTACTGTACTTATGGGCAAAGTTTTTTTGTGTGTGTTTTTTGTTTTGTTTTGTTTTTTAAGTTAAAAGGAATAGAGAACACATGGGGGGTGTGGGAATCCAGATCAGAAGCAGTGGAAGGAGAGATGGAGACACAGCGGGAATACTGTGGCTGCTTGAGATGATCCCGGTTCCTTTTATACTTCTCTGGTTTCCTAAGTTACTGACCCATCTGCATACCTTGACTGATACACTGGTGAGAGGTCTTCCGGGATTTGAACTCCCAGAGGATCTGTAAAGACGTGCTCTGTGTACACGCCGGGCTGGGAGATGTCCACGGTGTCTTCAGCTGACCCTGCATTGCCTTCTGTGGCTTCAGTTGCTTCTTCTGCTGTTGGAATGTTTTCATCAACCTCACTGTTTTCTGCTTCCTTTTCTACAAAATAAATAAAACATGCTAACTATTTTGAGTTTGAGCTTTTCTCCCCATCATTTCCCCACACAAACCACCGCTGCAGAGTTCCACTCCCCTTACCCCATCTTCCCCACATTATACCATGAAATACAGAATTCTTGTTTTAATGGGCATTACAGTATTACAGTGTCTTCTTTTGAGCTCTTTCATCCTCGTTACTTCAAGATCTAAATTGAGGAGGAGTCCTAATGAGGCCTCTGGGATAGGTTGTGACTCTATACTGATGGCATGAAAGGAGGAGAGTGGTACCTGGTGGTTTTTCCATCACTGGAGAAGCACCGTTGGTACTCGGGGAAGTGGCAGCTGCTGCCACACTTTCTGTAGAACAACCAACCACTGTGATGCCCCCCAACAGGCTGTCTGTCTCTGCTGAGCTATTGCTGGTCATGCTGCCACATAAAGATGCTTTGTCTACCTGTCCAGATTCGGAAAGCTCTTCTCCTGCAGGGTAGTCTGTTTCTCTTGCTCCTAAAAAACAAGATAAAACTTTTTATTTTATTTTTTTTTTAAAGATTTTATTTATTTATTTGACAGAGAGAGACCCAGTGAGAGAGGGAACACAAGCAGGGGGAGTGGGAGAGGGAGAAGCAGGCTTCCCGCCGAGCAGGGAGCCCGATGTGGGGCTCGATCCCAGGACGCTGAGATCATGACCTGAGCCGAAGGCAGATGCTTAACGACTGAGCAACCCAGGCGCCCCCAAGATAAAACTTTTTCTAACAGCTAATCTTATTTAGTCATTTGCTTCCAGTTTATTTTTGGTCTTCCCCAACTAGAGCATAACCTCCATGAGAGCGGTGCATAACTACCTCCAGCAAACAAGTCAGTTCCTGCCAGTAAAAAGGTGTAGATGGTAGGAAGAGAGGGACATGGCTTCCTCTTACCTGGTACACTTGCTATACACAGAACATGAGAGTTGCAAACAGTGAAACTGTCTAGGATGTTGCCTGGTTGAATAGCATCAATAATGATAACTTTTGTAGCTGAATGAGTGCTGGTACAGATCCAGACTAGACTGGATAATTCTTCTTGATTTTTTAACTCCTTCTGCTGTTCCTATGTATACAAAGTAAGAAAATGAATGTTTAAAATGATATGCATGTGTACAAATTCATAAGACTGTGTTGTAACAGTAAAGGGCAATACTGTTTTGCATTTATTTTCAGATTATTTGAAAAGGCTAAAAATACAACCACCTTTCAATATTAATTAGTACACTAAAAAATAGCAGTTAAAGCAGATCAATGATAAAAATGTTCTATATCTTGATTTTGATTGTTCTTAAACAGGTACATACATGTGTCAAAACTCTTTGAACTGTACCCATTTCAAGTGTATATACCTTATCATATGTAAAATACACCTCATGAAATGGATCTAAAAAAGAGAGAGCATGAGGAGTAAGCAAGGGCATAATAATCCCAATTCGAAGCTGGACCAGAAGTAAGTTCTGGACCAAAAAGCTACAACCAGGAGGTCAAATGTTAATGCACACACTTACCTTAAGTTCCTGGTCTAACTTGTCTAAGCTACTCTGCGACGCACTTCGCTGTTTACTGCCTTCTGTATCCAAACCAGCAACATCCTTGTAAAATACACTTGCTCCAACAACAGAACCACCATCTCTGGTCTTTCCACCTGATAAATTGACTCCAACAGCACACCACAGCTTTTTGGATTTGAAAAGGGGGGGGTATTAAGTCATTTTCTCTCTAAAAATGTTTAGAACTTTTCACATTTCTTTAAAAATCTAATGATCATGAATACAGGTCTTTTTTTGGTTGTTATTCCTTTCGTTCAAGTAAACTCTCCCCAGTGTGGAGCTCGAACTCAAGACCCTGAGATTAAGAGTTGCACATTCTACTGACTGAGTCAGAAAGGCGCCCCATGAATACAGTTCTTTGATATTCAAAGTATTCCAGTTTAAAATTACAAAATAAACAATAACCTCACCCACAAAAGCAGAATTTAAACTTTTCTGGTTTTAGAAAGAGAATCCATCCAGAGTTTAAGAAATATTTCCTTTAACTTCAAAATTAATTTACCTTCATTGATGTATCTTTTTCATCTAGAGGTCTGAGATAGACGGGTACAGGTAGATTTTTCATCTTATTTTCCCCTTGGCCATTGGTTACCTGATAATTAGGGAGGGGAGAGAAAAGACACATTGGTAAGCCTCATCAAAAGTGAACTCAAAGAACAACTGAGGCATGGGCAAGCACTGCTGGTATATTATTTCCTCTTTGAAATCATGGCCAAGTTAATTCTGTTATTCTTATTTGAAAAGTAAGCAGAAAGTCAAGTGGCAGTTAGAAAAAATAAACAAGATACTATGGAAGCCCAGAAGAGATACACTATTTCATGTATGTTAGTGCGCATGCGCGCGCGCATGTGTGTACTCATGTGTGAGTCTTTTAGGGATAGGGAATACGGAAGTAGACAAAGTTCCTGTAAACCTGAACTTAGGTTTAAGTCAACAGTTTGAAAGGTTACATGACAATACAATGGTTTCTTAGAACTTCTAAAAAACAGAGGTTGGTTTTTTGGGTACCTGGGTGGCTCAGTCAGTTAAAAGGCTGACTCTGAATTTTGACTCAGGTCATGATCTCAGGATCCTGGGATCGAGCCCTGCATCAATCTCCCTTTCCCTCTGCCCCTCTCCCCTGCTCGCCCTGCGTGTGTTCTCCCTCTCATCCTCTCTCCCTCCCCCCTCTCTCTCTGAAATAAATAAATCTAAAAAAGATGTTTTTTTAAAAATGAAATCTTCGAATATTAAAATAGAGCAGGATATACATGCAACTCAATAGCAAAAACAAACAAACAAATGGATTAAAAAATGGGCAGAGGATCTAAATGAACATTTTTCCTAAGAAGATAAAGACAGCCAAAGGGTACATGAAAAGATGCTCAACATCACTAATCATCAGGGAAATGCAAATCAAAACCACAATGAGATACCATCTCACACCTGTCAGAATTACTATTATCAAAAAGACAAGAGGCGAGGATGTGGAGAAAAGGAAACCCTAATGTACTGATAGTGGGAATGTAAATTGGTGCAGCCATTATGGGAAACAGTATGGAGGCTCCTAAAAAATAAAAAATAGGGGCACCTGGCTCATTTAGTCGGTAGAGCACGTGACTCTTGATCTTGGGGTCATGAGTTCAAGCCCCACTTTGGGCACAGAGATGACTTTTTTTTTTTTTTAATATTTT